TATTTGTTCTTTCTTACCCCATTTTTTTTCTCTTCCTTATAATTTCCTACCCTTTTAAAAAGACCTTTCATTTGAGCGTTCAGTGTCAGCTGACTTGACTGTCATTAACTCTATCAGGACCGCACAACGTGCGACAAAACCCAGTCACACAAAAGTGCCACCATTCGGATGAGAATCACTGGAGCTCAAGTCTTAAAAACCCTGTTGAATCGCTAGGTTATATCCCGACGACAGGGATTTTTATAAAGAATGTCGGCCAGATCTCCTAGTAAGTATATATTTGTTCTTCCGCATTATTCATTTGCACTCAGATAGCCTTGATTGACCACATCTAATTTGTCATGCAGTGTGTTAATCACAAAATGCCAGGCATTGGTATCTAGAAAGTGGTGCGGTGATTTCTGTCACAGGTGTGAGGTAAAGTTAAGTCCAACGTGATGTGTATAAGGAGTTACTCCGTACGTCACTCGGGCGCCAGTCCTGCACTGTTCTGGTTTTACGGAACCTCACGTAAGACTCCTGCAGCACGTCCTCGTCGTGCGCCATGGATAATGTCTCAAATGAGCATTAACAGAGCTGTCAGGGGATCTCGGAGTTGGCGGTCCCCAGAGGTGTAGTGTTCTTGTGGCTCTCATCAGCCCCCCCCCCCCTCCCAACGCATGGGTGAAAAAGTTAGTTGTGTATCCTTTACAGGACGTTGCAGAACCAACCCTAACAGCCTCTGGCTGTTGTGTGGTTTCTCTAGGCAATTTACATCCAGTAGTTTGCCATTGCTTCCTGGTCGGTCGGCTTTCTTGCTACCACTGTCGAAACCAACGCAAGGCGCATTGCCCGCAGCTGGGATCGAACCTGGCATCCCGGCATTACGAAGCGAAGCTTTCGCATCGACTTAGCCACAGAGCCGACGCATGGGTGAAAACGCTTATCAAAACTCATTAGGAACACGAGTAAAGTTTTTGCCAAACGTACAACTAAAATGACAACCCTCGGTTAAAAGTTTGTGGGGTGAGGAGAACATTGTGTCGCTGAGACTCAACCCTTGACCTAGAGATTTACCCGCAGCACAGACGAGTAACATCTCCTGTGGGTGGCGTCTAGCAGCAAGATTCTACCCATGTACATCCTGTCAACCCTCAGCGTCGTCGCCACCGTGCTGAGGTACACCAAGACAGCAACCATCCATCGGCTGGTTAAGCCCAAATGTCTGACAAAAATGGATACTACGGCACACGAGCAAGCTCAAAATCCTACCATCATAAATCGTATTGATTGGGAAAAGGACAAATGTCCACATCCTGAGACTACACTCGCCCGAGTGTTGGGACCAAACAGATAAAGAGGATTCTCCATTCTGTCGTGCTAACAGTACACTAAAGATGACAATCGTGTGATGAAAAAGATGGTGCCTATTCGTGTGGTCACAAAAGTCCAGAACCCACTGGCTGCTCCCCGCTGATCTCCGGAGGGCGCAGCCTGTGTCGAGCGGGAAGCCTAATACGGTTGTGAGGTTAAGCAGTTATGTGCAGGACATGACGATTCCTTGGTTGAGCCCAGAACCAGAGCGTTATGTGTCGGCTCTGCATTTATGGAAGCCTCCTTGGATGGCGGGGAATGCCCATGATCTGCTCCTGCCTTTCCTTGAGGGCTAACCGTTCCAAACAGGGCTGTCCCAAAGGAGGTAACACCTGTGGAGAAAGGGACAAAGAGGACACCACACAAATAAAGTAACATCTCGACCCACACAAAACAATGCCCACAGTCATCCTAGAAATAGGCCTGACGTCTTCCCTCGAAGTCGGAGTACATCTGCCCGTGAGGCAGGGAACGACAAAAGCCAGTAAAACGGTTGTACACGCAAAACTCAAATCCAGGTAAAAGCCAAAAGTTAAAATGGACGATTAACCGGAACCTTCCGCCAGAATTCACAGACGGTGAACGAAGAAGAAGTATCTAGAAAAGATATAAGACTGAACAAAAAGTATATCAGCAAGCTTCACAACAAAACGAACACAGACAAAATGTGAAAGTTACGGCTATGGAGCCTTTATCAGCACATGCATTAAAAAAAAACAATACCACATAAATACACAAAATCACTTAGCTAAGTGTCTCGAAGCAACCATGTCGATGTCAGAACAGTGGCCAGGCAGGGATCGAAGAATAAATAACCTGGAAAATTGTCAGAGGCCGTATCTGGAGGGTTTTTAATAAAACTGTGGTCCGTTCCATCCCCTAGGATTTTTAGATGAAACTGTTGGCAGTTCAGTCCTCTGGGTGTTAAAGTGTCCAAAGTGAAAATAACGTGATTATCAAGAGACTTGTGGAGTCTGTCGCTATATTTTCTCAGTTATTGGTAGTACCAGAACATATTAATTCCGACCTTATGCTACCAATGCCAGCAGTAGTCACTCACAACAAAACATAAAAGAAAATTAGTAACCATGGAAATTAGGTGTTTGAGAAAGGCTGTAGAAGTGACCAAAAGAGATAAAATCAGGAATGATGTCACACTAAATAAAATCAGTACAGAACAAATTCTAAGACAGCAAATCAAATGGTTTGCCCACCTGGTGAGAATATCTTCTGACGCTATACCATACAAGGCATATACCAAAAAAGGAGAGCAACGAAAAGCAAGTTGTAGACGAAGAACAAGATGAAAAGATAACATCAGAGAAACTCTACAGCACCACGATGTGTCAATGGTCTAAGCAGCAAGGAGAGACGAAGCACGATTGGCAAAAAAGTCCAAATGTCCATATCCACTGGCCCCACTCGCCCGAGTGTTGGGACCAAACAGGTGAAGCTATGCCTGACGCAAGCTTCTCCATACTGTCGTGCTAAGTGCACAGTTAAAACAATGTTAAAGGTGTCTAACGTGCGATGAAGAAGAATGTACCTATTTGTGTGATCACAAAAGTCCTGGACCTGCAGGCTGCTCCCCACTGATCTCTGGAGGCACAGACTGCGTCGAGAGGGAGGCTCAATATGCAGTTGTGAGGTTCAGCATTCATGTGCAGGACGTGACGATTCCTTGGGTGAGCCCAGAACCAGAGCGTCATGTGTCGGCTCTGCATTTATGGAAGCCTCTTTGGATGGCAGGGAATGCTCATGATCTGCCCCTGCCTTAACTTGAGGGCTAACCGTTCTACATAGGGTTGCCCCTAAAGGGGGTTTTCCAGGTGGCAACACCTGTAGATAAAGGGACAAATGGGAAACCACACAAACGAGGCAACATCTCGTCCTACAAAACACAATGACCACAGTCATCCTAGAGATAGGCTTGACGTCTTCCCTCGAAGTCGGAGTTCATCTGCCGGATAGGCAGTAAATGAGAACTGCACACAGATAAGCCAGTAAAACAGATGGTGCACGCAAAACTCAGGTCTAGGTAAAAGCCAAAAGTCAAAATGGACGAACATCCAGCACTCTCCGCCGGAATTTACAGCCCGTGAACATTAAAAAAAAAAAGAAGTTGTAAGAAATGAATACAGAACTAAAAACAGCATTTAAGGGAGGTTTTGATTAAATCCTAATGGCTTTTAAAAGTCAAGTTAATGTCAACTTTTGCCATAACCCTCAGTGATAGATGTCATGTGGTCATGACATGAATCACGTCATACATATTGTTTTAGGTCCTAGGGATGTATTCCATTTATGCGTCACTTGCTTCTTGTTTATTGATTCACTCCTTAATATATCTTGAAATATTTTTTTAGGTACAAATTTAGATAAATAAACTCACAGAAAGATTATTAGTTACCTAAGTAATATGTTGTTTTTTTTAAAGCATTTTTTCAGAAATTCCTACAGGTTCATGACCTATTTTTGTTTTTAGCAACCAAAGGGGTAAAAGGGTTACAATGAGGAAGAAGTGGAAGTGGAAAAAAGCAGAGTGGTAGGCACAGGTGTGCTCTGTACGCTTCTGCTAATAAATAACATGTAGCAAAAACTCCATGGGAACAGCAGATGGCTTGAGACATCAGAAGTGGTCTCCCCTTCAGTGAACATTTCAGCCCACTGCCTTCTAGACCCTTTCAGGTGGCGAGAACTTCCAGGTCATAACTTTCAGGAATGTCTTTTTCTATTCTACATTCAAACTATTTTTGTTGAATTTGAAATGTAGGTCCATTTGAAAAATGAGTTCTGATTACAACAAACAACAAAAATTTAGTGATAATAAAACTTTTTTTTAACACTCCACCCAAACTGAACTACAGGTTACTTTGTAACTGTCACATGCCTTAACATAACTTTGTTGAACTGGGTTTCTGGGATTTTCTGTAGTTGGATTCTCATTTGAAACCCTTTTTGAATCACTAGGTGTTAACCTTTCAAAAGACAATTCTGAAAAAGGCAAATTAAAAAAAAAATATATATATAAATACACAGGAAAAAAAAGGTGGGGGGGGGGGGGGGAGCGCACAGCAGGCGGCTCCAGATCATCACATTAGTCCCCCTTTCTGACTCATATAATAACAAATATTCTCACAGAAAAAACATAAGATATGCAAAAATTGTCAATGCCAAAGTTTTATTTATAATTTATTTTAAGCCCAAAGCATGCCCTTCATGAGACAAAAATTCAGCAGTAATGTACTACTAATATGCTACTGTAATGTGCATTTAAATCAGCAGGAACATTTCATTTCTGCTAGAACCACTTCTAGAAATCAGTACTGACCAGTTACTGCTTGCAAAAAGTACATCAGATTAGCATCTATCTAAACTATAGATTGGAAGAAGATGGGATAGGAACACTTACTGTCTTGTCCAAGGTGCAATGAGGATGATCAGATGATAAAGAAACTAGACAGTAGGAAAACACAAAGTAAAAGTCAGCTTTGAAAGCTGCTATTACAATAAACAAATGATATTTTAGGGTGACAAGGGAACAGCTATGAGAAACAGTACTGTCATTTTGTAAAGGTAGCCGATACTTCCTGTTTTTTCCATTGTTCTGTAGGAGTTCAACCTACATCATTTATAGTCCCTCTCATTCATTTTATGTCATACTGGGGAAGAGACTTCAAGGCATCAATGAGCTCCTGGTACTGAAAATTATGTGGCTCATAGTTGAAGCGGTAAACAAGATTGTAAAACTTGGAGTTTCTGCCATAATAGATACTCATTTGCTGAACAAGACTTAGGGCAAGCTGTTGCTTCTGTTGACAGAGAAAAACGTATTTAAAGAGTAATAATATTTGTGAAAGCCAGGGTAATTTACTTCAGTTTTATAATTTTCTGTGAGCATCTCTTAATTTGTTTACACAAAAGTGGTCCAATATATTGGGTCAAGGAAAAGACACACAGATCCCACTTATTTTCAAAGGTCTGCAATGGACCCTATACTTTTTAAGTCTTATTAAAAAAGAGTAAATGCTATAGAGTTTTTTTGTTTTTTTTTTTACTTTGCGTGCCGAACAGAGGCTTGGGTTAGTTCGACAAGGTCTTCCATATGAAACTGCACAGCTTTCTTTTCACAACTATCTGCTCTGTGAACGATAGTTTCTGGAATGTGTTGTTGTTGTGATTAGATCTCTGGCACTGAAGGCACCTGTGTGCAAGGAAGAAGAACTGCAGGGGGAAGTGCCAAAGGCGCAACAGTTCGTGAATATAAAATCATCAATGTGTTTGTATTTTTACGCTTGTTGGCAGTGGCTGTCATCGGTGGTGGATGTGCTTAAAGTAGTCAAAATGAGGAACACATGACACCCCAAGACTATAGGAATGTCCTGGGAAATCTACTACAAAATCATGCGACTAACGAGATGGGGTGACTTTCATGAGTTGTACCATGATATCATAAACCCCCAAAGACAACAAATTGGGGACCACTGTGTCAAGCCATTCCACTTGTTTTCTCCATTAACAGTGTGAATCAAAGCACTGCAATTTATGGTCTTTCAGATGTAATAAATTCTCTGTCTATGACTTAATGCATTTACTGACTAACCAATTATATTAAAATTCATATTTAGCTCAAACACCCACACTTTTTGCTGTAAAAGCAAAAGTTATGGTAGTGAAGTAGTTGGCATGCTTGCTTGTGGCCTGGTATTTGTGTCTCCAACAAAGTGAAGATTTAAGAAAAAGGATTTCCTGGCTCCCATGTTGATTCAACACAACATATCTTGAGAAGTGAAGAAAATATGTGTAATACTAAACCCATTACCCACTGAATGCAGAGTAATTTGCAAAAGGGGCTTGGCACTATTGTACATTGGCAACTATGAACCTCTTTTAACTACAGTAAAAAGTCGAAAAATACAATGGTATGGACATGTAATAAGATCTAACAGCCTCTAAAAAACAATACTGCAGGGCTCAGTAGAGGGAAAGAGGAGAAGAGGCAGACCAAGAAAGACTTGGTTACAGAACCTGACTGACTGGACAGGCCTCAGGCATGCAACCATGAAGGCCATCGCAACTGAGCGCCAAAGGTGGAGAGAGCTGATCAGACAGTTAACAGAAACTGGTGACTCAACAACACGTAGTGTTATGGGATGATGATGATGATGATGATGGCACTAGACACCCATTACTCCTCAGTGTGTGGAAACAGGTCCTTGACTTTATTTAGAACAGGTTAACAAAATTCCTATGGCTCAATAGTTATTACTATTTTGAAAACATGTTCTTGTCAAGAAAAACTAACAGAATCATTTCAAATAAGAACAGGTGTACGACAGGGATGCCTCTTGTCCTATTTTTACCAGGAACAGAATCAGCGGACCTCCACAAAACAGCTTGATGACCCGGATCTTGGTGACAAATATTTCACATGCATCTCACTCACGCAGTCAGATAAATTAAATATGCTTCATGCAAAATTACAACAGTTAGGTCTAAAAATCCATTAAAACAAGACAAAGATAATGAAAATAAACCAGACAAACAGTAAACTGGTTTCTCTTTATGACATCCCACTTAAAGATGTGGAGTGATACACCTATATAGGCAGGAATGTAGATAAAGGGATTACAAAACACACTTGGCCGGTGATGTGGTCAATTTTACGTCAGCCGCCTTTACTTCCCAACACTACTTAGTACCTGTTTTAGGTTGGAGTTGTTATCACAGCACTAGGAAATTTGCTGAGGTCAAAGAAAATTAAAACTGGTACTAAACTTAAAATATTTACTTCCAATGTCAAATGAGCACTGCTGTATGGAGCAAAAACACAGAGCACAACTAAAACAATTACAAATAAAATACACACATTCATTAACTAATGTCTGCACAGAATAGAGGGAATTAAATGGTATGATAGAATCACTAATCTTAAGCTTTGGGAGAGAACCAAATAATTCCAGTGAATCCGGAGATGAAGAAAATAAGCTGGCAATGGATAGGACACACGTTGAGAAAACCTAACACGTTGAGAAAACCTGAAAACATTATAACTGAAACGTCTTTGCATTGGAACCCACACAGGCATAGAAATAAAGACCCCAAAAACATGCAGAGTGGAGCTAGAGAGTTAAGTTAAAAAGATGGGGCGAACATGGGGTGGGCTGCATGCCTTATGCTTGCATTACAAATCTCTCAGCAGAAAAGGTCGGCTGAATACTGGCCAGGTACAATTTGAAATTTGAAGGGAAAAAAAGGAAGACAAAAAGATATCTGGTATACATATATATCTGGACCCTCACCAGTGCTTCACAACTCATGCACTGTAATGAGATCTTTTTTGGCTCTGGCTGAGCTGATACAAGAATGAAACACTCATGGAGATATTCACATCAAAACTAAGTAGTTGACACAGAAAACCCTTAAAGAGGTAAATTCCTATCCAGGAAAGATATTCTTGCGGAAGAATACTGGTGAGTGACTTTCAATAGTCAAGCAGCAGTTTTCAAACAATAGGCAGAAATATATGTCTGTGACACTGACAATGAAGGTTTAACCATCTTTAACACTTCAACTAATTCTCCTACCCTCTTCTAATATTCCCACCTCACTGCTTGTATCTGCTCTATCCCATTATCAATATTTTGCTGCAAAAACTCCCTTTTTTCTTCTTTATTGTGCCAGATCAACCCAGCCAAAAACTTGTACTGTCAAATATTCTGGGAAATAAAGGTTTACCAAATCGCTCATCCAGTGTGTACCTGGTGTGCTAATGACATGAAAAGGAGCCATCGCTGTCTCTTTTTTTTTTGGTTCAATTTTTCACATTTTACATTCGACTTCTATTCCTTTCTTCTGTCTTTACAGGATAAGAATTTGCCCACTGTTAACTTTACAGTTGAGCTCTGTTCTTTTTTTTTATATATCTTTAAAGGATAAGAATTTGCCCACCGTTAACCTCTATTCTTTTATTCTTTGTATTTAAAGATACGAATTTGCCCATAGTTGACCTCTATTCTTTTATTCTTTGTATTTAAAGTATAAGAATTTGCCCATAGTTGACCTCTATTCTTTTATTCTTTGTATTTAAAGTATAAGAATTTGCCCATAGTTGACCTCTATTCTTTTATTCTTTGTATTTAAAGTATAAGAATTTGCCCATAGTTGACCTCTATTCTTTTATTCTTTGTATTTAAAGTATAAGAATTTGCCCATAGTTGACCTCTATTCTTTTATTCTTTGTCTTTAAAGTATAAGAATTTGCCCATAGTTGACCTCTATTCTTTTATTCTTTGTCTTTAAAGTAAAAGAATTTGCCCATAGTTAACCTCTACTGCAAACACTTAAAAAAGCTTACCAACACTTTCTCATCAAACTGCCCGTTCATTAAGACGATGCCTAAGGAAAGAATAAAAGAACACTGAGTCATGCAATGCAAGGAATCTGAAGTGGAATTTTTAAAGATGAAATAAATAATTATTATTCTAAAATAAAAAAATATATATATGTTCTATAGCAAAAATCTCAATAGTAAAATACTTTACAATAAAAGTCAACTGCACAAAAGTTAAATATCTATTCCTGTAGTTACGAATATTTGAAAAAAAAAAGTTACATTAAATCAAAAGATGTTCAGTTTCCCAGCTGCCACTAAGTTAGGATGCATGTAAAATGAACCAAGGTCCTCTCCATTGGGAACACACTTTTTCGTTATTTTGTTATTCATGTAAAATGAACCAAGGTCCTCTCCATTGGGAACACACTTTTTCGTTATTTTGAAGCCCGACCCCGGCTTTAGCCTGGGGGCCGCAATATAGCTTGACGGTTAAACGCGGTTTCTGGGACCTCTCCCCGAGTAATCCTCATCCGCATGGTGGCACTTTGTTTCACCGGGGTTTATCACTCTGTATGATGTCCTGGTGGGGTAGAATTTACTTACTTACTTAGGATGTATGTGTCTCTAAAATATTTGGACTTTGGACATTTAATTTCTGTAATTAATCTTATAGGTAAAAGACAGCAGAAAATGAACATTTTCATTACAGCCAACTAACCTTTACAGATGGCACACAATTAAAATTACAGTATGTTTAGGTTTATTCAAAGGATTGACATCATTGCCCATGGGTGTAACCCATAAGTGCTCCCTTCTTCTTTTAACTCAAGTCTAAGTCTGAAGAAGCCCAGCACAGTTTATGAACTCTGTTGCACCGGCGAGGATCCTGAAATATTTTGGGTAGATTTTTAACTCCAAATTTTGCTCGGGCAATGCCGTTAGGCTACTCTTTTCGATTTCCATCTGCCAAGGGATTTTTGTGTGTGTGCAACAATACGCACGGGCGTCCGGTCTTAGTATCTCGAGACCTAGAAAAATTACTAGAAGTCCACCTGAAAAAATCCCAGCTCTCACAGGGCTTGAAACTGGGACCTCTAGCACTCGAGGCGGACACCATGCCTCGAGACCACGCAGTTTCCCCCCCCCCCCACCCAAATTACAGTAAAACATCATTAACATGAACTCCAAGAGACTGAATAATGAAGATTTCATATTAACAATATCTGTGCATACCATGGACTAATAGATGTATTATGAGGAATACTTTTCTTCTTCTTCTGCCTTTCTATCCCCCAATGGAGCATAGGCCCTCAACCAACTTACGCCAAGTCGTTCTATCCTTCGCCATTGCATGGAGCTCTTCCCATGTCCTCCCCATCTTTCTAACTTCATTCACTAGCTCTCTTCCCCATGTTTTTTTTTTGCCTTCCTGTGGGTTCCAATGCAAAGACATTCTAGTTATGCTGTTCTCCTGTTTTCTCAGTGTGTGTCCTATCCAACGCCAGTGTCTTTTCCTCACCTCTTGGTCCAATGGATTTTCAGACTAAGCTGTTGTGATCTCGCATAAAGTATATTTAATTTATCTTGCATCTGATTCCGTGAATGGGACAGAAGAGCAATATCATCAGCGAAGTCCAGATCATCAAGCTGTTTTGTAGGGGTCCACTGTATTCCCTTCTTGGTGTTAGCAGTTACTGTTTTCATAATCCAGTCTATAGCCAGTAAAAATAAGAGAGGCGACAAAAGACATCCCTGTCGCACACCTGTTTTTATTTCAAATGCATCTGTTAGCTTTCTCTCATGAAGAACTCGACATTTCATGTCTTTATATGTTGCCTTTACTAAGTTGATAATTTTCTGTGGGATTCCATAGTGCCCCATCAATTTCCAGAGAGATTCCCTATCAATGCTGTCAAATGCTTTTTTATAGTCTATAAATCCAATGTAAAGTGGTGAGTTCGGTTCAATGCTTTGCTCTATTATAATACGTAATGTGGCTATCTGGTCAGTACAGGATCTTTTTGACCAAAAACCTGCCTGCTCATCTCTTAGCATTTTATCAATAGCATCTTTTAATCTTTCCAAAATAATTCTACTTAATATTTTTCCAGGAACTGACAGCAACATAATTCCTCTATAGTTTTCACACTCCTGTAGATCAACTTTTTTGGGCAGTTTCACAAGATATCCTTCTCTCCAGTCTGCTGGTATTTCTTTGGTATCTCAGACTTTACTAAATAATCTATGCAACAGTTCTGTTTATGTTGGCCCTGATGGCTTCAGCTGATATACCATCTGGGCCTGCCGCCTTTCCTTCCTTGAGAAGATTGATAGCTTTTTTAATTTCCTCTTTGAATGGTATCTCACAGTTGATATCCAGTTCCATTTCTAAAGGCTGGATATTATTATCCACATTTTATGTTTCCTTTCCTTCTTGCCAAGAACTTCTACGCAAGATTCATTCCAAATTCCTTTGATCTGATCCCAGCAGACTTCTGTGCTGACATCTTCAGCTAACTGCTGCAACACCTGGTACTTGTTACAGACTGTAACTGAGAACTGTTCCTTAACGTCTTTATCCCTGAGATAACCTACATTATATTGGTTTCTATGATTATAAGATGTTATATATCTTTTTAGTTTCAGCTTGATTTTACTTACCACCAGGAAATGGTCAGTAAAAACATGTGCACCTCTGAAAGCCCTAACATTGTAAAGGAATGATCTAAACTTTTTGTTAATACAAAGGTGGTCAATTTGATTAGTTGTCTTATGGTATGGTGATTCCCATGTTGCTTTGTGTATTCTTTTATGGGGAAAAATACTTCCACCAATAACATACTGGTTTACAGCACAAAAATTTGTGAACAATTCTCCATTTTCATTCATTACTCCTAGACCATGTCTTTCCATAATTTCTTCATAACCTGTGTTATCTGATCCTATCTTAGCATTCAGGTCACCCATCAAAATTTTTTAATTGCCCTTTCTCTCATTATTTACAATATATTGAAGCTGCATGTAAAATTCTTCATTAACAGATGCATCTTTATCATTTGTTGGTGCGTAACACTGTATTACTGACATGTTCACCTTCTGTTTCACTGTTCTAAAAGATGCTCTTATTATTCTGGGACTCAAAGTTTCACATTCTATTAGTGCCCTGTCTGCTTCTTTCAATAGCATCAGGGCCACTCCTTCTCTGTGGAGCGAATTTTCTTCTGTGTGTCTTGAGAACAAAATAGTTTCCCCTGATTTAGAATACTTTTCCCCGCCCTAGTACATCTAGTTTCACATAACCCTAAAATACTAATCTATAATGTTTCATTTCCTTTGCTACTTCCATTGTTCTCTCTATATCATAGAGAGTTCTAACATTCCAGATGCCAATTCTTGAGGTTTTCCTAGCTGAGAGGAGGTATGTCAACGATCTGGACTCCTTACGGCTTTCTCTACACAGTGTCATACTTCTTCTATTTGAAGAGCCTACCCTCATCTTGGCTGGCCGGATTTTACTTGCTTCTCTTTTTGACTTATCCATGGTTGGTTGGAGACATTCACAAAACACTGAGTGAATTCTTAAAGACGGTAACATATCATTTTCTTTTTAAAATCAGATTTCTTGTGTAAACATTACCAGAAGAGCAAATGAAAAGAAAATGTAAATTTTACTAGTCACTGCATTGTATACTGAAATATTCATAATAATTTGTTACAGATGAAATGTTTTCTCACCCTTGTCCTCTATCAAATCTGTGTAATGAGTTAGTGTCAAACATGGCGGTGCATTTTCTCTCACCATCTGAATTTTAAAAAAAATGAATGCAAATACAGAGAGAGAGAGAGAGAGAGAGAGAGAAAGAGAGAGAGAGAGAGAGAGAGAGAGAGAGAGAGAGAGAGAGATAATATTACTACTTGATGACACAAGATGGGAAAAGTACAATAAAATTATACTTGAATATTTTGAAAATGGTGAGATAAGCTAAGAACAAACATTAGCACAGTACTCGGGAGATTCCCATAAGCACTCCATCCCTCCATAAGCACTCCATCCCTATCTTCAGCAGCCAGAATAGTTCCAATATTGATGGAGCCAGTAGCAGTTTGGTTTTATGTCCACCTATGTCCAACTCAACTCAACTCTGAGTTCATTTTTATTTTTTAAATTGCATACATCATTATCAGTAAGCATTGCCATCATTCTGATTTTGTAACCGAGAAAGTAGGATGTTTCTAAATTTCATAACTGAGAAACACGGATATTCATTTTAACTCCTTTAGTCCTGAAAGACTTCACAATAGGTGCCTAATAACCATAATGAAAAAAAAATTATCACAAATTCATGACTTTCAAATAGGTGAAACTGGTAAAGTTAAGGATACATTAGGTGAAACTAATTAGATTCAAGGGGAAGAGTTAACCAAACACACATCACATGTTGCCTGGCACTAAAAGAGTTAAGAAAAGGAAGAAACAAAGACCTTATGAAAATTAACAGTGTTTCTACTTACATGAATCCTGGGAAGTAAAGGCCGTCGGGGTGATGTTGACCACATCCCTCACCGAGTGTCGACTGGTCTATAAAATATCAGTCCAGCCCTATATGCATAATATGCTTGAAGGCATGGAAAAGGGTCCTTTACTTTAAGTACTTACATTAAGAATAATAATCGATGTGGATGTATAACGTCTTTAATGTCATTAATCCATTTTCACCTTGGGCGCTGTCTCACAACACATTTTTTTTTTAGTGTACCACGTATGTTCGTACTTGTTGTGACTCCATTCTAATGAGATGCCCCAAACATTTATTTTCTGCTTCTCACTGAATTTAGTGCAAGGTGCTGTTACCCTAATCTGCCTGACAGTATCATTTCTCACTCAATTTCAAATGCAATAATTTGGCGGATTTCCTCAGGCATCTCATCTTATGGGTATGAACTGTACATAAGTGAGCTACTGATAATGTCCAAGTTTGGCACTGAAAGCACAGTTTTAGCATGAATCAGCATTTTATAATCTGCTTCTTAGCAGTCATCCTTATGTTTGGATGCCTTAATAATGGTATCAGCTGGTTCACAAGTGCAAAAGTCCTTTGATATCTCATGCTGATTCCTGATCTATTCAGTTGAGAATAAATGTGAAGTGATTTCTGTATTCTTTTTACATCATGACAACTGGGCAATGACTATTTCATTACATATGCATACACTAAAATGCCGACATAGGCCATCACAATTAAATAATTAAATGATGGAGACAGACGCATGTACAGATTTTTGCACAAAGGGACTGAAAATTGCACCTGAAACATTCCTAATGGAGTGAAGTATACTTCATTTCTGTCAAACTGGGACAAAATGAATTCAAAACCATCATCTCTGCGAACTGGATACACAAACTGGAAGATAATGAAAAAAAAAAAAAAAACAGTCAAATATATTCACTCACTATCTTCTCTTGATAAAGTAGTATATTTCAGATTTATTTCACAGTGTGCACTTAATATTGAGTTAATACCAACTTCTCTGTCAAGTTTATGTATAACATTGTCAACTGTTTTGGGTTTTTTTTACTAACATTCTGTAATCTGACATGGCTGACATGTTTACAAGAGCTCCGTCTCCCATTTAGCATATTAAAATAATAACACTCATCACATTCACTACAATTCTGTAATTTGACATGTCTGACATGTTTACAAGAGTTCTTCCATACAACATATCAAAATGTACAGATTCTAACCTCCTCTGTTTCATTCTTATTGTTTATATATTTTGTTTTTAAAATCCAGGATATGTTGCATTAGTTTCAGTTTGTATTTTATATGCCTATAGTATGTGCACTGTCATACATATGCTGTATCAATACACATAAGTTTTTCCCTTACTTATTACTTGCACTAGTGAAGATTTATGTATAATACTATTATATAACAACAAACTCATCCTATTTACTATTATTATGTACTTTCTTCTTCTTCCTTTCACTGCCAAATGGAGCAAATGCCTTTAACCAACCCATTACAAGCCATTTATGATCTGTTTCATGATTATGTTGATTTTGCAACTAAAGGACGCCACCAACTTTATCTTCCTTACGGTTATTTCTAGTGCTACTATTATTTGTTGTTCACTTGAGCCCTGGTTATGCAATTATGTGATCTGTCCATCTGTGATTTGTGACAGATGATGTGGAGATTCAGCATATCAGAACTGTGACAAAAATGGCTGCTGGACAGTTCTAAGAAAGTTTTCAGAATGAGGCTCTCTTATATTTTTTTAAAAACTCATTTGGTACTAGAGAACAGTTTAATTAGTTATAAATCAACAATTATATGTTCCCTGGTACCCACAAAATTGAGATAAACTAGCCATTAAAAAGTCAAATTCAGACTCTGGAGATATACAAAGATATGTGAAGATATGGATATACAAAAAAATAGGCTCATTTCATGGAAACAAAAATGATTAAATACAGCTGTTCTGAGATAATGTAAAAAGAAAAGAGTTGTTGCAAGAAAATATAAACAGAAAGGGCAATATTTCAGCCACATTAACAAAAAAGCACCCATAAAATCCATATTGGAGGGAAAAGTTTATGGCAAGCTAGCAACAGGTAAACAGAGATACAAATGTGAGGATAATATTAAGAGATGGAAGAACAACGGTCTTGGAGAGTATGAAATGAGGGAGAGAGATATAGAGTACTGAAGTTCCCTTGCAGCCAGTCTTTACTGTAGAGTCAGTAACCAAAGTCATACAGGATCATTGAAACAGGAGATTGATTACTTTACTTTTTCCTTCCACGTATGCCGCTAAGCGTTGTGGGGAGATGCAAGTTCCTGTCATAAGCAAGGCGGGCAGCATCTGATGTTCTGAGGTCATGCTTTTGGCAGGTTTCGGAGACCCCGTCAATCCACCGTTTCCTTGGTCTTCCTCTTGCCTTATATCCTGAGCTTCTTTGGTTGAAAATTTGTGATGTTATTTGATCATTTTTCATCCTGGTTAGATGTCCAAACCATTTCATTCTTTGATGTTCTATGTAGTCTAAACATGGCGTAGTTTTGACAGTGTTTCTAATGTCTATATTCTTTATCCTGTCTAGTCTGGTCTTGCTCGCTGCTTTTCTTAGACATTTCATTTCACAGGCTTCTATTTTTCTTTCATGGGTCTTGTTGATTGTCCATGTTTGGCACTGGTAGCAGAGTGTTGGAATGAAGATGGTGTTTATCAATTGTCTTTTGGTCTTCATGGTTATATCTGGATGTTTAAGCAGAGGTGATAGTTGGTATGTGACAGCATTTGCTTTCTGTATTCTTGTTTCTATCTCTCTGTCCATTCTTCCATCCTCTGTAAATATACTGCCCAAGTATTTGAACTCTTTGGTTTGCTTGATTTTGGCACTTCCAACATTTATATTCAGTGGCCTGTGTGTTCTGCTGATCTTCATAAGATTATGCATCTTTAACTTCAATTCACACAACAAAAGTTCTCAAGTTTTCAAATCACATGGCCCCCATCACACTTAGTCATGCTGATTCAATGCCAAAATCTGATTGAACCCACTGACTCCATGAAAGCATGTTATGTGACTGGCCAATGGTTACGCCTGGCTACGCTGATCGCTCCCCTTGCGATTGTAACTTTGGACACTCACTGCCATGTTAAAATCGTGACTTTTGTGATAAATGTAGTTAAAACCGTTAGATCATTCATTTCTCTATGTTTCTTTAAGGAAAACAATTCTGTAGTGCTTAAAGTAAAGATTTCACTAATTTGTTTGGTAAGCTCCCATGTCGATGATGCATTAGAAGGATGTTTTCATAAAAGCTGCTGATAGTCCAACCAACATAGTGACACAGTTTGGGGAACATTTCTGATGCTATGGGAGATTTTCTTGATGTTATTCAATCAGAAAGTGAAGGTGAAGATATTTATGACAGGTTTGATGACTGTGACTTTAATAGTTCTTACAAAGTGCCATTAAAAACATTGTCGAAACTAAAAGGATGCTGTTTTGTTTATTATCTGTTGCAGTCTGAGATGAGTACATTAGTTTGTGTAGACTGTTTCATGTATGTGCTTCAGGTATGTATTTTTAGAAGTGTCTGTTAGCGTAGATTGTGTACATTATGGCACTGTAGCCTAGAGTTTAGTGAAAATCTTTTCATAATCTAATCCTAAATGTTTAACGAGGTGCGATTCCAGCTATAGCCAGTTTAGGAAAAGAACATTTGTGTGGTTTTTTTTAGACTGACAATTCAATCACACTGTTATCAGAAATTCTTGGTGCAAAATGGCAAATAGCCACAGAATTTGCTGAATTTCACAGTGAGGCAGAGCTCTTGTCCAGGATAATTTTCAGGAAATTCTTTTTAGTTATACTGGTGTTCCGTCTACGTGATTTTTCGGTTCTATTTTTGCACCAATCTACAGCCACCTGATGATGATGTACAAGATTATGCAATATTTTGTTCTTGAAATCTGTTGTTCACATTTACTTTGGTGCAAAATTACAAACTGTTAAATAGTTATGAAGCTATGACATTTTTGCTAATCTATACTGCTGTCAGGAAAAAAAACTAGGTTGCCTTTTTTTTTCACCAACCTACAGCCACAAAACAATGATGAGTTAAAACAGGATTTTAAATTTTTTTTCTTGAAATTTTTTCTCCATTCACTTTGGTACAAAAATACTAAATATTATTATTAAACAGTTGTAAAGCTAGTTTTTTGGTTGCCTTTATTTTTTTGGCACCAATCTACAACCATATGATGATTAAGTAGTGATCCTCAAGACAGCATTTTGGACTTTTGGGATAGGACCATTCAATTAGAATGTCAAGGCATAACTAAAAAACAAGAAATGAATAAAATGCACATAAACAAATAAATAATACTTACAACTGGACATTCTTTAGATTTCTCCCTCAAATTCTCATAGTCTTCTGCCTATATTTGACATAAACATTTCAGTATAACAATAACAAAAAAACACAGTGACAGGATATGATATGAACAATGAAACAAAATAATTATGCACTCTCATGAAGAGAACAAAGAATACAATTAAACGAACACCCAAAATAAAATAACATTATGAGCTATCAAATGTGTCCATGTTTCTACTTGTTAGTTAGCTTTCCCTTTCTAAATATTTCTTTAAGTAAAAGGCAGTATTATTTATTCATCATCATCAACTTTCACTTTTGACATTAAGCATCTGGAGGAACAGTTTCTAGTCCAGCACTTCAATCCTTCTGTCAAAAAATTTATACCAGGATGGTGGTAGCCTTAATAAAAGCTACAGTGCAGTCCAAATTCTTTCCCTGTTAGCAGCATACAGTTGACAGTGTTGGAGAGCATGCTCAGCCTTTTCTGGTGCCAAGTTGCAGGGACACATCTTCGTGTTTCCTACACTGAACAACTTGGAACACATGTTGGTGAAGTCTTTATAGTTCTATTCTTAGTCTGAATATGATAGAATGTCCTTCTCTTGTGAGGCAATGAAGTCAGATGAGGTGAAAATTGTGTGGATATCTAGCCACCTTTCTTGGATACTAGTTTTTATTAATGTCTTAGTCTGCTTGTGGCTAAGTCAAAATGTGGCATTGACCATTATTATTTTGTGTGGCTGTGCAATGTCCATAAAGCCACCTTCTTTCTCCTCAGCGCCCTACTGTTCTCACATCAGATCTTTTTAGGTGTGCCTGTAGTTATTGTGGCTGCATTCTGATGAGATCAACCCAACTGATCTTCTGCATCTCAATGCAATTTATTTACTTCATAAAGAGCTGAGTTGAGGTGAACTAAGTAAGTTAAGAACTGACACCACAGTACTCAGGACATTCACATTAGCACTCTGTCCTCATCTTTAACAGCCAGCAAAGACGAATTCCAATTCTAATGGTGCCAGTAGCAGTTTGATTATATCCGGCTCGCCTTGCCTCTGAGTGTAGAGTTTCAACCAGATCCCTTAGTCACTCCTAGCTGTACCATTCTCTCCAGATCATAATTATCGATTCATGCCTACAAATTGTTCACTTGCTTCCAAAGGGCTTGATCACATCTACCTTGTCATGCATAATTCACTATATAAATCGTATTGGCGCCTACAAGTACAAACACTAAACCACTGTATGCCATAAAAACTTATTTTCATCTTTACTTACAATCTAGGAGGCTACCTAAGTGTTGCCAAGCGACTGAACAACCATAAAATGCACCAATTTTGAAATTAGAGCTATACAACATTAGCAATGATGATACGTTTTTGTCAATTCAGAATTGTATTTACAAACTATGGCTTTATTTAACAACACAAAATGTGTCATATACAGACATGTTGTAAAGATGCACTAAATAGCTATTTTCAACAATAAAACACAAAAAAAATTACTTTTGACAACTTTTGAAAAATTAACACATGTCATTCAGAATGCTATAAACTGCTTTAAGACATTCACTTCTTATTATACGAATAACAATTATAGTCTGTCATCAGTTCTTCAATACCTTCAGAACAGCATAAACACAATCCTTGCCACTGTGGTATTGATTCCAAATCTGTAAAGAAGGCAACAGAACATATACTAAAACATTAAATCAATATCACTAACAAAAACATCCAAATGACATCACTGTTTCAGAAACGTCACTTTATATTTTTTTTTAAATGGCTTATGCCTTGACAAAATTACAAGTTTGCAATTGCTGACTGCATTTTGAAGCTCAGTTACTATTAATAAAAAACTTGAAAAATCAACAACAACAAAACCTGAAAAATTAACAACAACAAAATAAACAAGAAATCCTGAGGATGTCAGGAACATAAAATGGATTACTATTCTGAGATAACCTTCTCATCAAACTTTTTCCCCCATTCAAATCCCTCTTTATTCTGCCATACACATTTACTACCAGTATGAATCATACACATTTTAAAAAGAGTTTACTGTCAGACCACATTATAAAGTGACATCTTTGTTTCAGCACTCACTTTGCTAATTTCTTCTGCTGTTTTGTCGTGAATCAAGTCCATCTTCAGTATTGAATCCAAGCCCTGTGCAGAGACAAAACAAAATTTTCCGGGAATTCAGAATTAACATCTGTATAATGTGCAACAATAGAATAACACAAAATTGTCTCAAAAAAACCTTTATTTAATTTATACTTGTGTCAGGGAATACTGTGTACCCAAAAGAATTGACTTGGAGTAGAGCATGAGGCAGACCAGGAAGACGGTGGAGAGTTAATACACAGGCAGACCTACAAGCACTTGGTTTATCAAAGTTCTACCCAGGCTGTTGCCGGGGGCCCTAATATAATCCAACCCATGGGCTGAAGGGGTTTCTGGGACCTGTTCCCGGGCGATCCTCATCGGCTTTTGTGGTTGGTGTCACTTTGTGTCACCGGGTGTTTACCGTTCAGTGTGACGTCCTGGTATGGCTGAATGTCAGTCAGTCAAGCACTAGGTGTCATCAACTGGAAAGAGTGAGACTAATCACAGAGATGATGGAGGCAGGTGATATCAGCAGCAATGAACCTCGAGGACTTGGAATGCTTAGTAAGAAATTAGTGTCAAAATAGGTATATTTTTTGTTACTTTATGCTGAGGTGAGTTAAGAACCAGAATCATCAGTATCATAAGTGCTCTGTCCCCCATCTTCAGCAGTCAGTACAGTTTTGATCCTGATGGTACCTGAAGCAATCTGATTCTTTGTCTGTCTTGCCTTTCCCATGAGTGTTGATTGTCTGCCAAATCCCCTCATCATCTCCCCCCGCCCCCCTGTGATTCAATTTTCCACCATTCTCTTTCCAGCTGAGTGAGTTGAAAGTCTTTAAACTCAAGCACATACATTAGGCATGCAGTAGCAGATAAATAAAAAATATTTGAATAATATATATTTCTTTTTAAATGTCTTTAAAGGCATGATCTTTTGTCACAAATTCCTTCTTCCATCAGAAGGAAAAAATTTACATTTTTAGGCATGCCATTTGAAAGGGATGTGTATGTATGATGTATGCATGTAAAAGGGTTTTTGACTGTTTTATGTGTGTGAGAGACAGACTTGTTTTTTTAATGTATGTATGTACATACAAATTATGTATGCATGTTTGTACATTTGTATGTATGTATGTACGTACGTTTGTATGTATGTACGTACATTTGTATGTTTGTATGTATGTTTGTACGTACGTTTGTATGTATGTACATATGTTTGTATGTATGTATGTACATATGTTTGTATGTATATATGTACATAAATTTGTATGTATGTACGTATGTTTGTATGTATGTTTGTATGTTTGTATGTATGTACGTACATTTGTATGTATGTATGTATGTACATTTGTATGTTTGTATGTATGTATGTACGTACATATGTATATGTGTGTGTATGTATGTATGTGTGTGGGTATGTGTATGTATGTATATGTATGTATGTATGTACGTACGTACGTACGTTTGTATGTATGTACGTATGTTTGTATGTATGTATGTACGTACATTTGTATGTATGTATGTACGTACATTTGTATGTACGTATGTATGTATGTACGTACGTACGTTTGTATGTATGTACGTACATTTGTATGTATGTATGTATGTATGTATGTATGTATGTATGTATGTATGTATGTATGTATGTATGTATGTATGTATGTATGTATGTATGTATGTATGTATGTGTGTGTGTGTGTGTGTGTGTATGTATGTATGTATGTATGTATGTATGTATGTATGTATGTATGTATGTATGTATGTATGTATGTATGTATGTATGTATGTATGTATGTATGATTGCACATGTGTGTATGTATGTATATGTGTGAATGTATATTTAAATGCTCGCATGTGCCATACATGATTTTGTCTTTTACCTGCTCTTAATATTATGGAGGTGACTGCAGCTTTCTGCTGACTACAGAACATGATACATACAGACATCATTATTGTAACAGACTAAGAATACATACTGAGGAAGGTGAGGATGGGTATGCTTCACTTCGGAGGTCACAGATGAAGAGCATTGTCTGAATCTTTACTCCAGGCAGACAGACTGGCTGGCTCTGCAAAACTTGGTGGAATACTGATGCATGATAAGGCAGATGTGGTCAAGACCTTAGGGGAGCATGTGTACAATTTGAAACCTCAAACTGGTAAGAGTGATGCAGCGAGGAGTGACGAGGGGATCTGTCAGATACTCGATGCTCAGAGAAAAGGCAAGATGAACTTATAATCAGAGTGCTACCAGCACCATTGGTATTAGAACTCTGCGCTGACTGCTGTTGGATCACTTCTGGGAATGCTCAAATTGCTGTGATACTGGTTCTTGAATCAACTCAACTCATGTATTCTGCTGTATTAACATGAGATGTTTCTAAAGAGAATACAACTGTAGTGTGAGAGAGGAATGATTAAAAGGACAAGATGAGCCTGCCTGCCCAATTTGTGACTCTTTGAAAATTAAGATTGTTCATTCATTTGTAGCACTCTCTAGTCCTACACTTAATCCATAAACCAGAAACTAGACCACAAACTGGAATGTCATTTCGAGGTCTCTTTGGTTTGCCTAAAACTTAGTTGTCAGGTCTATTGGCGTGGCCATGCGTTGTTTCACAGCTCCTCCAGGAGGGAAAGGTCTTGCAAGACATGACCTCAGGACTGTCCCGCAGAAGTTCACCAAGAGAGATGTATACGTTTTTTGTGTGAAGAGAATGCTACTAACCAACCTTTGAAGATGTCATGCCAGCACCAGCCCTGGCTGTTTCTGATGGTGGTGTCACTTGTATGGGATTGAAGCCTGGGTCAGAAGACGCAGTCCTTGCATTTACATCTGCTTTTTTTGGTTTGAATCTTTCTGATAATTCCTTGACTTTTTCATTATATTCTTCTGGATTGGCACTACATGTAGAAATAAACAACAGTACCGCATTAGCAACAAAATAATATTACATAATAACAAAACAGAATGGTATTAACTGCAGTAGGGTATGACTCAATTTGTATTACATACAGCTGAGCATGTTTCTATCATCATAACATAGCAGGTCCTCTCATCACAATCTGACTGAAAGAAACTTAGTCTCTTCCGCTCATGCCCTTTCCTTGACTGACTGACTTTCTACCCTACCAGGACATCACACAAGCGATAAACACCCGATGACACAAAGTGCCACCATGCGGATGAGGATCACCGTGGAGGTCCCCAAAACTGCGTTCAGACAATTGGCCATATTGATGGCCTGCCTATATTGTGGCCCCTGGCAAAAGCCAGAGTGGGGCTTCAAATAACAAAAAATTACGTCCTAAGAAGGACGTAAAGAATGTAGCATCCTTCTTAGGACGTAATTTTTTGTTATTTGAAGCCCCACTCTGGCTTTTGCCAGGGGCCGCAATATAGGCAGGCAATCAATATGGCCTGCCTAAGGTGTCCCTTTTATACTGTGCCCATCTTCATGCTGGTCGGACACCGCCTCTCTTTCCTGGTACCGTGCCTTTTGCTACTAATTTTTTTTCCAGTCTGCCATGGCACTTGATATAGTAAATATATTTCAGTTTATGAAACAAGATGCTGTTCACTAGCCTATCTTCCTTGATTGTTCAGATATTTTAGGTTGGCAGTATTTCTTTTCTTCTTGGTCCATGGTATCTTTCTATAGCTTTACAGCTCAAAAGCCCATATTAACTAATTAATTAAATGTCTTTAAACTGTTAAAGAGGAAGGGATATGGAAAAAAAAAAAAAAAAAAAAAATATGGACATTACAAAGCAGTACAGGAAAAAACAAACAAAAATTTTTAGGCTTTGAACAGGAAACTGCATCTTAGCACACATCTACATAAAATAGGCACAGAAAAATCTAAATATTGCAGACACAACAATACATTGCACAATTTACTGCCCGGAATATTTTGCTGTATCTCATTAGGTGCTTTTTTACAGAGTTAAATCAACATTTAATGAAGCACACAAATGAATCCTTTCACTGAAATACAAAATCACATTGTCAATTTCAAGTTAGGCTGTACATTTTCCCACTGAAAATTCAAGACATGTGATTGCCATGGTAACTTCAAATTTGTCATGTGCTCTTTTTGATTGCATAAAATAGGAGCATTCAGTTTTATTTATACGGCCTTGGCTGGTTTTAACAAAGGTCTATTCAATGTATGGTAAATAATTCTGAAGACACAATCCTTAATGCCTTATCAACTCCATGTCCAGCGTCAAGCAAATGAAGTTCTGTCGAAGAACTGGGTTCTCTTTTCTTGGCTGACCTTCATACAAGACCTAAATTCAATTGTGTGTGTGTGGAATATTTAGGAATATGTTCGGGCACTCTGTTTTCACTCTGATGAGATGCAGTGAAATATGCCGGCAATAAATTGAGCAATTTACTGTTTGTGTCCGCATTATTTAAATTTACAATGGGAAAAGACTGTTTCCCATCTGCCACCTGTCTATGTAGAGTAGACAGATAGACTTCTGAGAATATACTGCAGGATTGCTTTACTAATCCAGGAAGAGACTGGAGATTTTGCCTAATGAAGCTACATTACAAGACAAGCTGGGAGGGACCAGAAGGGACCTAAGACTCCCCGTCCTGTTTGTGACATGTTGTGGTTGTGATTATACACATTAGAATGCCTGATGAGATGTTCAATGACAATTTTTGTCAAAACATCCAGCTGTATTGTGCCTGTCTTTGCCTATTCCCCTTGTTTAGCGTTCTAGTCACAGTGTGTGTCAAGTTATACAAATAATAATAACAATAATTATTTACCTACATATATATATATGTGTACATATTTATCGGTATCTGTGGCTTAGGCCTTGCCAACGCACTTTGTAATGCCGGGTTTTATCCCAGCTGTGGGCCTTGCGTTGGTTTCGACAGCGGTATCGAGAAGCTGATCATCTAGAAAGCAATGGCAAACTACTGGATGTAAATTTGCCTAGAAAAACAACAACAGCCAAAAAAAAGGCTGGGGTTGGTTCTGCAACATCCTGTAAAGGATACATAACTAACTCATCATCAATCAGCAGGTCCTCCAAAGAACGTGTCGCTCTCATCATGGCATGCCTGAAAGTCTCATCCCTCTTTCTCCAGCCCTATGTGCTTTCAAAGCCAATGATTAAATGTCCTGTTTGCATCTTCATGGAGGCCTGCTTCTGCCTGAACTGTACTATCCATCACCCCTTTCTCCCGGCTACCATGTTTAACGTGGCTAAAATACTGAAGCTTTACAAAGGGTTAATATAACAAGTTATGATATGTTATCCCAATGGACATCTTTGCACATTAGGTATTTCCAAGTGTGCTCAGTCCTCAGATGCAGCAGCCACCTCTATTCTGATACCTCTATTCATTGTTCTAATGAGAAGTTGGTTATAGTATCTCCTATTTTTACCCCAAAGACGGCATAGATGTGGTTCATCAAACTTAACTCCTCAGTTAGCACAAGAGATTCAACATTATCCCCCAACCTAGTCCGTATAGCACTGGATGATATCAGCTCTGACCCTGCATCTTTTACTGTTTGCAGTGGTGCACTACTTGTCATTTACTCCTGCATGCCCAGGTATGTACATCAGATGATGGAGGTTAACTGCGACTTCCGAATGCTTTCTACCAATTAGGAGATATGCCAGATAACATAAGTCTCAGAGATGCAGCATGAAAATTTCACAATCTTTGGAATGAATAAGGAATATATATAAGGAATATATGCAGTATTTTTTGGTATTCAAAGAGTTAAGAGAGTGATTAATAAATTTATTACCAGAACAAATGTAAGCTACTTATTATTTAATCCTTACCTTTGCAGGTATTGAAGCTTTGATTTGTATTTGTCGAAAAATGGATTCTCAGAGATATCAACCACTTTCCTTTTTGAGTTTCCCTTGTTGGCCTCTGATGTGGAGTTTGTTGAAAAAGTATGTGCTGGACATACAATACCTCTAATGCCAAAGTGTTTTAAAATATGTTTTTGACCATACAGTTGACATCTAGTGCGGATGTAAGTAAACATCTGTGATGCCAGCGACATGATTGGTGATGTTTTAATTGTCCGGACTCAAAAGAACTAAGATGGAAACAAGCAAATAAATACATACAATATTCACAAGTGATTCTCTGCTATGTACAACAAAGAATAACTTATTCAAGTTTACTTAAGGTTCTTACATAAAAATGAAAATTTTCCTCATATTTCTAGTAGAAAACCCATTTATTCAATCAGGACATTGTTTCTTATTATTGCTTTGAAGTATTTCAGCTGCTTACATCTACTTGTTTCCTTTCATAACAATTATGATTAACTCAGATATAATGTCACTGGTGGGCGTTCACCTTGAGTTTTATGTGCACATCTGTTTTACAGATCTAGCCTATTTGTAAGCAGATTACTAGTTCTCATCTCTCAGGTAGATGCACTCCGACTTTGAATGAAACACTCTAATTAGTCTAATAAGTTTATTCCTGTTTTTTTTCTCCAAAATATAGCCTCGGAACCCACACAGTGAATATTTGGTATAATCTTGTTTACAAGGACAAATTTGAAGACTTAACATGTTATTTAGAATCTGATTCACTAAATTATATTTTTAAAACTGTAGCTTTAATTCTATTTTCTGCTTGTTAAATGTATTATTCTGCATAATTAAATGGTTTTGGGACATCTTCCTGATATGATTCTTGTCCAGAGAAATGGTATGGCAGCACAGTAATTTTAAAATTATTCATTAGCAGGGTTACTTGGGAAAAGGGGGGGGGGGGGGGTGTGTGCAGTACCAGTACCTTTTTTAAGGCAAATTTTTGTTCTTCAAGATTTGTTATTTTGTCTATTCATGACCACTAAAACATAAGTCATCTCAATTGCCTTGGAAAATATTAATATTAATAATATTTGAAGAAATACTAGTTGTCTGTTACTTCTGATTGTGCTACCACGCTGTTTGGTATTTAAGGGTTCATCAGAAGATTTGTTAGAAGGTGGCAGTATTGTAACAGACACTTTATGGTGACTACTGGCACCTCTTCTAGTAAAAAAAAAAAAAACACTATACTTATAAGTATAAATCAGAGGGTTTAAGATGTTCTTCAAAATGTAATTTTTAGAAATACATTTGTAAACTGAACATTCATTCTTCTTCTGTGTAAAACTGTACTATTTAACATAATGACTGAATAATGTGTTAGGGACACATCCCATATCTGTCGGAACCTTGGTGGTCATTATATTTGGGGGCATTAGTATCAAAATTAGTTACAATTCTGCTATCAATGCCAGAACTGGACAACAACAGAAAACAAAATTACAAATTATAAAGGGCTCTTAATATAACAAAAAGAGATAAGATCACAAACAATAAATTCAAAGGAAAATAAGGATAGGCATAGCAGCTCTGGATTTAATTGAAAACAACAAATGAAAATGGTTTGGCCATATAATGTAGATGCTAACAAACAGTATACCACAGATAGCAATGATGAAAAGACCAGGCTGGAAGCGAAGAGGAGGCCGACCAGGCAAAATATGGGCAGATGGAATAACAGAGTCCATGTGAATCCCCATTTATAAAGCTTTCCGTAAAATTATGGTAAATTATACTTCATCTCGAGCCGGACTTTTTTCAAAAATTACCTTGACTCCCAGGTTGACCCAGCCATAAGTGGGTAATAAATTGTGTACTTCCGGCGACTTCCGCCACCGCCGAGAGTATCCACCACGCCACTCACATGGCATGGATTGAGGCTAAACTAGATGGCTGGGACTCACGAGCAGCAGCTATTGCATCTCCTGAAGCTTCCTTTGCTCGTGAGTCCTAGCCATCTAGTTATGCCCCAATTCACGCTGTGTGTGCGGCGTGTGGGATACTCTCGGCGGTGGCTGTATAGTCTACGAAAGTCCACAATTGAGCGGTTGTGGTATAGTCCCCGGAAGTTCGAAACCGACACGTGACTGAGGCCCTGTGAGGGTTATTTTTGGCCTCGATAATTTGGGACCGTTATTCGGAGGATAGCGGTCTATAAAAATATATATATTTCCAATACGCCTAAGGTCGTGAACAAATGGACCTTTACTGTACTTATACTTCATCTTATACTTTTGAATTTCATCTTGACGCCGCAAGACTTAATGGAACCAAAAAGTCGGGATAAAAGTTACAACAGTATTCACTGAGTAACTAAGAACGTTGTGGGCAGCCTATGTTGTGATATTTTACTAAAGATGACGTGCGGTACGTTAACTACACTAGTGCCGATTTTGCATGTTACATAAATATTTATAGGGCCACAGAATAAAAATAATTATACAGGAAATCAGTCAATAATGCAGATCTGTCTTTGTTGATGTTCTGACCTTTAAGTCAAAACATGAGAGCCGCCATCTTGCAATTGCAAATATAAAACTCCATTGTATTTTTTAAAATATATTGAAATTTTCATTTTAAAACTTCAAATACAGCATCAATAAAAAAAAAAAATGTAATGTTTGCAAACAATTACTAATTATAATAACTTACAAAATATATCTTATGAATTAGCTTCATTTGTGAAGTAAAATTAAATTTTGTTTTGTAAACATTGTTGAATCCTATTTCTGGAGTACTGAGTCAACTCCATCGCAGCAGACAGAAGTGCTTCAGCTGTTGGCTCTATTAAACAGGATTGTCGTATAATTATTACTGATTTCTTCAGTTTTCACTGATAAGTCTTGGTTAATACTTTCCAAGCGATGTTTTCTCAAGTACAGTCGAGTTCTGCGGGTATGAATACACTTTCTAACAATGACTGAAGTTAAATAGTAAACAGCGGTGTACTGTTAAGTACTAAAATAGATATCCTGTTCAACCGTCTGGGTTCTAGTTAGATTGAAATAATTAATATATTTAATTTTTATATGTTAGATGGATTGTTCAAATAAAAACTGTCACTACTGTCTGTTTACAACTTCTTGGGTGGTGTAAACAGGTAGTCGTGAGCCTAAAGATTTAGGGACGCCTTGCTAGTGCTGTCGCCACGGACTGTGCCAGTTTTAGGATGTTTGATTTTGCCACCAACAGAAAAACCCCATCACCTTATCGTGGGGCGAATTCGGGTCTCCCACATAAGAGACAGACGTTGTAACCATTCCTCAATGAATTGTTAAATAATATAAAGGGAATGGTTTTTTTTTTAAATCTACATATTTATGATAATAATATTGTGTAATCTGTTTTGGGGAAATAACTAAAAATATCTTGGCACTCTTCTGAATACTTGTCCCAAATTATTCACTGTTAAAAAAATCTCATTCAGGGCCTCAAGAGGTCATATAGTTAAGAATATGGAACAGAAACACAACACACTTTGCTTCGCGTTATTATATAAGTTCATTTGAGCCAAAGTCTCAAGTCTTCAGTAGTACAGTTGTAAGTATTCCACCTGTCATGCGGGATACCAGAATTCGATTCCCCGTCAGGTGATAAATGTTTTTAGCCCTAAAAAGGGCGGTTGGCACATTGTGTTGTGGTTTACTGCTAGGCTTGATATCTACGCTATTCGCCCTAACACATCTGATTTCAGCAAAGGCCTAATTAGTCGCCTTTTACAACATGCTTTTTAGGTTTCAGTGGATCTATTCGTTTTTTTCCCTCAAACATGTGGCCCTGGAACCCAAAAAGCGGGTAATGGGAAATGTGAACAATGAATAAAACAGTATTGGCTATCCTGCAAATAACAGTCGTAAATTATCGAGGCCGAAAATATACCCTAACAGGGCCTCAGTCACGTGTCAATTGTGCACTTCTTGGGACTATACCGCCACCACCAAATTGTGAACTTCCGGCAACTTCCGCCACCGCCAAGAGTGTCCCACACGCCGCTCATGCCGCGTGGATTGGGGCTAAACTAGATGGCTAGGACTCACGAGCAAATAAAATGAAGGCAGCTGCAGGAGATGCGGTAGCTGCTGCTCGTGAGTCCTAGCCATCTAGTTTAGCCCTAATCAACGCCGTGGCGTGGGGGACACTCTTGGCGGTGGCGGAAGTTGCCGAAAGTTCGCAATTCGGCGGTGGCGGAAGTCGCCGTAAGCACGCATTTTAAGACGACGGAAGTGCTCAATTGACACGTGACTGAGGGCCTGTTAGGGTATATTTTCCACCTCGATAATTTACGACTGTTATTTGGAGGATAGCCACCATATTCCTCCACATGCCACTTCAACAGATCAAAAACTACTCCTCCCTATGACGCATAAACTGTGGATCAAAATTTATTCCTTCCCATGATGCTTCAATGGATCGAAAACTGTTCCTCCCCATATCACTTAGCTTAATGTCTAAACATTGCTATCCACTGAGCAGTAACGGCAGAATTAGAAACTGATGATGATGGCCTAATAGTTTTTACTACATACCCTCTTGAGGCTCTTTAAGGGATGTTATTGCAGTGAATAATTTGGGATCTGTAGTCGGAAGAGTGCTAAGATCTTAGATACCATTAATCTGTCTTAATATTTTAACAGCTCATACGAAAACCCAGCTCTTAGTGAGTCACTGACTGGCAAATGTTAACTTATTAATATTAATAACTGAATGTTTTAGTTTTAAAATAGTATAGTGGGGGGGGGGAATGTTGCCTCTTTTTAATTGTATAATTCAGTTACAATATTTACTCTTTAAAAATATAATCACAATGGAATTTTACAAAAGAAGAAGAAAAATGTAAACAACGTACACAAACACACACACACATGTGCACATACACATTTAATATCTAGGAAAGCATCTTTAATTCCCAAAAGATTTCTTATTTTTAAGCTGGGTTGACTCGGTGGGGATACATTTTATAAATTTCCTTCAATAGGGATTTGCATTTCTGCACCTTTTTCCTTGTTTTTCACTTTCTGCCCTTTATCTCCCACTGAAGTATAAGTCCTTAACCAACTCACACCAAGTCATCATATCCTTTGTTATTGCATACAGCTCACTCCATTTCCTCCCTGTCTTTTTGACTTCATTCTCTAGCTCCCTTCTCCATATGTTTTTTTTTTTTGGGGTGGTGTGGGGGAACGGGGTCTGCCTTTATTTCTTTGTCCCTGTAGGTTACAATGCAAAGACATTCTAGTTATATTGTTCCCAAAATGTTTCCTGTCCAACACATCTTTTCTTCACCTCTGGATTTACTGGAATTGGTTTAGTTCTCCCGCAAAGCTCAACATTAGTAATTCTCTCTTATCATTTATATCCTCTCTATTCTGCATAGGCACCAGTTAGTGAATGGTTGTAGTTCATTAGTAATTGTTTTACTTGTTCTCCATGTGTCTCCTGCATACAGCAGTACTGTTTTGACTTTATAATTAAACTTTTTAAAGTTAGTATTAATTTAAATTTCCTTTGACTTCCATTAATTTTCTAGGGCTATGAAAGCTCCTTGCCTTTTGTATTTAAATTTGTAATATCTCTGCTGTTTTCATCTACATTAACTTCCCACTTAGATGTATGACTCCACATCTTGGATAGGGAGGGGTATCACCAGAGAAATTTGATTACTGTTTGCCTGTTTTATTGACTGCAGCTGTCAAGGAGAGTTATCATACATTTAATGTCTTCTTGTAGTGTTGTTTACAATTGTAATTGCCTGAAGATAATCATGAGACCAATTTTTTTATCTTTCTTTTGTTCAAAGGTCAAGGAAACAATCCTGGGCTCTATGAGGTATAATTGTCTATTGTTATTTTCTGGGTTCTTGTATTCGCTTATGGCATTATGAAAGACAGCGAAGTTAAAAACGCATAACATGGATAAATAATATTGACACCCATTTTAATGCGTTAAAGTAAATTTTACATTGTATTTTTTATTACATCTCAGTTAAACATGTGAAAAATGACAGAACAGAGTTACTTTTGTTATTGTTGAGTTAATAATGAACATTAATGAAAGATGTGCCAAATAATTCTTTTGTGCTGACTGTTGTTTTTACATGTTTTTGTTGTGCATGCTGTAAATGCAAACTAAATAAAAATTTGTTGTGTTTAAAAGTGAAAGCAGGTGGGGCTGAGAGCTTATAATGTTTGGGTAAAATCTGTATAGCAGAAGCAAACCTTAGACAAATGCTTGCTGAATTTTATATATAGACCTCTATGGCAGGTATCGCTTCAGAGGTTCCTGGTAGTTAGCGTACTTTGTATATTTTCTCCAGCAAATGACAGTGTATTAGTAAATGAATAAGCAGACATATTGGCTGGTTCTGCACCACTTAGGGGTAAACTGAAACTGATGTGTGACAATCTATATTGTCAAATCCCTTTGGAAGCAAGTAAACATTGTGAAGTCACAGATAGATCATCTCATTCTGAAGAGAATGGTGCAACGGGAAAAGGGGGGGGGGGGGTGACAAGGGGATGTTTTCAGCATTGAAAGGAAAGACAGGTGTGCAGTCAAGCTACTGTTGAAATTGCCTGGCGCCACCCCTCCCACCAAAGACGTTCCACGCTTGTGACTGCATAACCTGCAGCCATTCAGCCCATTGGCACGTATGTCCACCTTAGGTTTGGGATTTTTTTAATCGAAGTTGTCTCCTCTGGATCTGTTGTGTTTTATGCCTCTTCAGTCATGCTCAATTGTCTTGACTGTAGAATGGTATTTCTGGTCAATGGACTTATGAGTGCATCCCTTTCACCCTTTCAGTATGAGTACTTATGTGGCTAGATCCAGCTGTCAAGTGGAAATAGCTGGTGTGCTCCACTGACCAGAAGATACGACATCTACAGCCCTGGACGCTGTTGCAAGAATACTGAATACCAGTGTGTCCCTGATAGCTAAATCAGAGGCCACATCTCCAATTCAGTTTACTTGTCTGGAAGGAAGAGCTTGAGAATATGGGGATGACCATAAGTATCTCTAAAACTTTTAGAAGAAACACCTGATCATTATTGGACAGTATGCATTGGAGCAGGTCAACCAGTTCAAATACCTTGGAGTTTTATAACTGGTTAGATTTAAATGGAGCATTAGGACAGAGCTGGCTACTCAAAAAAACAGCAGCTGGGAGACTTTTCCAGGCCATAAACCAAAGTCACAAAGTCACAAGAAACACCTGATCATTATTGGACAGTATGCATTGGAGCAGGTCAACCAGTTCAAATACCTTGGAGTTTTATAACTGGTTAGATTTAAATGGAGCATTAGGACAGAGCTGGCCACTCAAAAAACAGCAGCTGGAAGACTTTTCCAGGCCATAAACCAAAGGTTTCTTCTCAGACGACATCAATGGCTGTTTACTGCTCTACCTATGCACTAGTCTTGATCTGTTAGTGTGAGTCATGGGCAATGACAACAGCCCACATAAGCCAGCTTCAGGCCTCAGAAATGGGATATCTGAGAAAAGTGGTCCAGGTGACGACAAGTTACAAGGTTTGTAGTTAGACAGTATGTCAGGATCTTAAAACCCAGGCCTTACAAACTCGAGTGGATCAGTCACAGTCACAGTTATGATGGTTTGGATGCATGCAGAATTGGAGAGAATTGGCCTCAATAGCAGGCATGGGAGGTCAAGAACCAGTAAACCAGGCCACCAGGGCATCCCTGGGTTTGCTGGGAAGACAACATTTGACAGTCCCTGGCTGACAGAGGACTGGAATGGAACAAAGGCAGATAGAATAACTGCTAACAGAGAAGTCTGGCGATCTCTCTGGCAAACCTCTGCATCCCAGGATAGAAGAGGAGCGACTATTAAATAAGTAATAATACTGAATACTAGAGATGAAGGTTAGGAACCCATTTCCTGTGTCACCTTGGCATGAAGAATGTGGTTCAAGGACCTTTTTTTTATTGATTATACAGCACAAATGGTCACTGTAACCCAGTTGCCTTGCAACATGTTCATCCATATCATTTTATGAGGCTGGGTCAATTCCATAAACAGGTAACCCACAAAAACAATCCTCATTGGAGCCAGTTTCAACACATAGACACTGGGACAACAGATAATGTACTACTATGATACAGAAGCATCTTTGACTTGATTCATCTGGTACATCTGGGTAAAGATTCAACATCACAGCATTCAGGACAAGCTAATATTAGCTCCGACTTCCTCCTCAACAGCCAGCGAAAAATCTCCATATTGATGGTACCCATTGTCATCTGGTTAACAACTCATCTTGCCTTTTCCCGGAGTCTTCAGTGGCAGCCAGAACCTGTAGACACTCCCCGCTGCATCATTCTCTCCAGATACGGGTTTTCAGTATCTTCCATTTTACTTGTTACCTTGTCCCACAAGCGAGAGATCGCTTCTGTCTTGTGTAGTTAAGTACATCCCAAGTGGGGGCCAATCCAGCCAGCCCATCTACCTCCTGATTCCCAAACATGAACACATGGCTTGAGCGAAATATCCATGTGACTCTTGCCACCTCTAGATTTACGCAACCCATTCCACCTGAAGAAAAAAAAACACACAACTGACTCCACCTTCCTGAGCGTGCCTTGCAAATGGCTGGATTCAAGTAATGTTTGATTAATTTTTCCGGATAATACTAATATCATATTGGGAGCTATGGCAGCACTGCTGCTAGACACTACTTCACCGGCTTGAAAGTCTTGGGTTTGAATCTGCACATTGACTGATTTCTAAATAATTGAGCTTGGCTTTCAGGTTAACCCAGCCTTCGGTGGGTGTCAAGAAATGTTCTGGCAGGCAAAGGTTGCCTGGGTGTTGTTAACCACCTCCTCGATCAAGTCTTATTGGTCTATACATATATATGGGTCTAGCACCATATGCCAGATGTGCCAGGAGCTTAAAAAGGTCTTTTACTTTACTGGTAATGTCTCATGTACTGTTCTTTTTGTTTAGGAAGTCAAATTATACAGAACAGCAAGAGAAAGGGAAAAGTGAGTAAATAACCTCCCGAGTGACGTTTGGAACCAATCCATGTCCTGTTTTATTTTCTTAATTATCAAATCAATCAGTCTGCCAACTTAGTTGCTACATTATAAAAATGGTGGTAAATAAAGGAGACTTCTCTACGCATTTAGGTTTATTGGGTGTATAGGGCTAGACTTATATTTTATAGACCAGTCGACATTCTGTAGGGAGGGGATCAACATCATGCTGGCCAACTTCACTTATTGGACTTTACTTGGTACCCAAGAATTTCCAGCTTAATGTGAATTTGAACCCGTGACCTTCAGGCCTGCAGGCAAGCCTGAAGCCGCTAAACCACAGTGGCTTCCATAATAATGATTGTAGTATGAATTATTTTTTATTGTTGAAATTTCCTGTCCAAAATCATTAGCTTAAAAGGGAATATTTGTATACTCATTTGTGATTTATTAGAGACGTTTTTTGTTTTAAATGTGGTCTGTCAGAGATTAGTAATTGTGAAAGACAAACTTTTGTCATTCAGATTTATTATTATCAGCCTGAAACAAAGCTACAGCTCTCATTGGGAATTAGTCTGAAATAGCCTGCCACTTAAAATAATAATATGCTATTAGGAGCAAGTAATTAATGCTAGATGCTATTTTAAACATGTGTATCTGTAATATTTTATTCTGGCTTTTGTCAGATATGACAACATGGCAGATCTGTATGCGGTTATAAACACTCTCCAAAGTCTGGAAAAGGCTTACATCCGAGATGCAGTGCTAGCTAAAGAGTAAGTAGCAAGTTTTAACTCAAGTTTTTTTTTAATGTCTTCTACTGCCTTATCCTGCTAAATAAAATAAACAAATAAAAAACCCATTAAAAGTAGACAGTCTATATGAGTTGGCAACATTGTTCATCCAGAATCTGCTAAATGTTTCTTTAAATTAAACAGTAACTTTAGGCACATATGTCTGTTACACAGGGTAGTAAAAATGAACGTTGTCACATGTTAGAAAATCGACTGGGAAGTAAAGAGGCTGAAATTATATTGAGCATATAACCCATTGAGTGCCAAAAGTTGGTTGTAAATCCTGCACAGGACATCAGTAGTTTTGCTATTACTTTCCGAACAGTTCGCCGCTCTGCTGCCAGATCGCCTGCAGCTGAATCGAATCCAGTTTGTCATAATTATGAAACTGCCATTGTAACCCCTACAAAAAGGAAAAATCCTTACCTGCACAGTCCATGATGATTTCACTGGCCACGTGGCCTAACACTTTTAGTCCCAGATAGTTATTAATTCCGCTCTGTCTGTCCTAAATTATTGTGTGTACCAAAGTAAAGGTCCCTTTTTCATGCCTTCCGGCATATTTAGGCATATAGGGCTAGACCTATATTTTATAGACCAATCAGCATTTGGTGGGTGACGGAATAAAAATTTTGCCAGCTGCCTTTACTTCCCAGGACTTTGCCTGTACCCACTCAATGCTGTATGTACCCTAGAACACCAATTTTTCAGTTCTATTGAAAAGTGCAGCTTTGGGGCAGTAAAAGTTTGAATAATAATTGAGTTAGAATGCATAAACATAGCAGAGGAATGGGCCATAAAGAGTAAAGAAATGTGTACCACATAAACATAAACCAATGTTCGTACTATGAGTTCCTTGGTACCAAAAGAGTTCATTCCTTAGCCTGAAGCTCCCCTCTACCTCAATTCTATACCACCATAAAAAGTAATACAGACAGATCGTAACATCTCAGAAACAGGCTTTATCTTGTGTGCCTGCTGGTCTTAAGATATGGAGCTGGCACCAAAAGCCTCAGGTTAGTCCGTCACTTGCTTTTTTTGTCTGTGTCTGATGAAAGTAATGTGCACATGCTTTTTACGTTGTGCTATTGTTTTCTTTTTCTTTATGAAATCTTCTGGGTCTAACAATTTTAATGGTCTCAGTTATTTTACCAGAAATTCTTGTGTGGGGTCTGGGACCCTATTGAGGGGAAGGGGATTAGACCCACTACCTCCCAACAAGCATGTTGTAAAAGGTGACTAATTAGAATGTTTCCTTCAGAGTCAGAGTGCATTTATCTAAGAGGCAAGGAACCTTCAGCCGGCATACAAAAGAGCTAGATTTGTAAAACAGATATGCACACAAAACTCAACTTCTGGAACAAGATCAGAGTCTATAAGTGGATGAACAACCATAAATTTCCACTGGAGATTACAACCAGTGAATGCTAAGAAGAAGAAGAAGAAGAAGAAAAAGAAGAAGAAGAATTCTACGGAAAAATTTCAGATTTACAATGTGACAAAAGATGTACAGGTCTAACACTTGACATCATCACAACAGCTGTATCTGCTTTAGGACTATCTGTATTTGATCTCTGATGTCTTCTACAGGTACACAGCCACATGCTCCAAACTACTAGTGCAATATAAGGCAGCATTCAAGCAGGTCCAGAGTGATTTCTCCACGGTTGAAGAGTTTATGAAGAAGTACCGGGTATGTAGTCTTGGTCACAGACATAATAATAGAAGCAGACATACCTATTTTTTTAAAATTACATCTACCTTCCCAATTCTAACGTCATGTACTGATTGCCATGTGTCATTGAATGTGTATAGAATAGTATAGTATCAGTTGTGCAATGTTGTTTCAAGAATTGTTCTCTGCTGAATTTGGTCTCAAAACAAGATAACTATCCCTTTTATTGATCAGTTAGAGAGTATCCCTGTGCGGGTTCCCGGCTCCATTGTGGGGAAAACAAGAACAGACCCACTGCCTGCCCAGAAGCATGTCTAAGAGTCGACTAATTGGTAGCTTCCTTTGAAGTCAGAGTACATCTGCCTGAGAGGCAAGGAACCAACAGTCTGCATGCAAATGAGTCAGACCTGTGAAATGGATGTACAAGCAACACTCAGGTTCTGGAATAGGACTAGAGTCTAGAAGTAGACAAACAACCAGAACTTTCTGCCGGAGTTTACAGCCGGTGAACATAAAGAAGAACAAGAAGTTAGAGAATATACTTTGAGTATGAGTTGAAGATATAAAAGTTTATGGAGAGTTTACAGGGTGACTTTATCAACTACATTTGAAGCTGTCATGTATGGCTGGGTCTCTTCACAGAGCAGTTATCCACCAAGAGCATTGAACAAAACATGGACTGCATAACTTCAGCACCTACACTCCATCTTTGAACTGAACCCTAAATAAGACAACAGAGCACATTGTTGCTTCCCATCAGAATTCAGTATTACTGGCTGTAAATTGTCCTAAGAGTATGTTGACATTGATAGTTTTCATCTAGGGTCCAAGAACAAAAAATACATGACAGTCCTCTTCTATGTAGACCTGTTTTTTTTTTTCAAATTAATTTTTAAATTTTGTTTAGAACAGTGTTTTCCAACGTGGAGCCCATGACTCACAGGGAGGCAGTTCGAAAAAGGACTCGTCTAGAGTTTAATTTACATAGGGGGAATATACTAATTTTAGAAAGGCTTAGGTGGGGGCATGGCAGAAATACAGGTTGGGAAACACTGGTTTCAGATTTTTGTTTTTTTAATCAGATGCAACTGACATGAAATATGGTCTTGTTTCTTTGCTTAGTTGGACTGCCCTGCAGCGCTGGAAAGAATTAAAGAAGATCGTCCCATTACTATTAAAGATGACAAGGGAAACACAAGCAAGTGCATTGCTGATATTGTTTCTGTGAGTACAGTGATTTGGTTGGTTGCAGTTTCTCTGGTACATTGTTGTAACTCTGAAATCCTGTATATTGGTATTCAGTTCACTTGAGCCCTGAAAAGGACATCGTCTGACTGCTTAAAAGTGACTAATGGCCTTGTGAACATTAAGAACACTTCATCCTGAAGTTTGTGCACTACAGAGTGTGTAGTGTTTCCCTTTTATTCTTGTTTACTATGCTGGTCATGAAATTTCTGTCATATAATTATTTTTTTTTACAATCTTGAAATCTGTCACAGATCACTTCTTTGTTCTGTCTGTCTACCTGTCTCTCTTTCTCTATGTGAGAGTGAGTGTGTGTGTGTTAGTGAGAGAGAGAGAGAGAGAGAATGTATGACCACACATTTGTGTGTGTCTTTGTGACTCTCTCTTAAAGTGTGCCTGTCTGCATCTGTCTATCTCCACCGCTTTCTTTTTCACACAGGAAAAGAACCCCAGTACTCGAGAGTCATCAGACTGTTAAATGCTTTTGCTTACTTCTAAGCCACAGAGTCATCCATTTTCATGCTAAATGTGTCATGCATACACAGGTTTGGTCCCTGAAAAAGCCATTATCTTGACTGCTCTCACCAGACATAACATTTAGACAGCACTTTATGTGATGGGATTCATAGGTAGAGCACTCACCGCAATTTTCTTGGGACTACAAGAGTTGTGAACTAGACTGTTGTATATGTATTGTATGAATCTGTTTTGAGTTGGAGTTAATAAAAAACCTGACTGTAAGACAATTCTTATAATTAATCTGTTTGTAGTCATGCAAACTAGTTTTGTTGAATAGTGTAGATTAATCTTTTGTTTTTCTTCTATGGTTTGCAGTTGTTTATTACTATCATGGACAAACTTCGCTTAGAGATACGAGCTATGGATGAAGTGAGTTCCCATTGATTTCTTTAATTGTATTTTTGCTTAACTTATTAACAACCAGCACCTTCATAAACATCAGACTTCATGCTGTTGGAACAATAACCACAAATAATGAGTGGTAACTCATACACATATTTCAGAATAAGCATTTAAAATTGGACAGACTGCAGCTGAAATTGTAGACACAGCCCTAGTTTAAAAAAGGTGTAGATCAATCAACTCTGCCGTACTATGTTCTTATCGTGTACATTGGTCAATGTTGAATTAGGAATAGAAATCATAGCGCTCGAGACACTCCCATAAGCGCTCCATCCCCATCTTCAGTAGCAAGTGAAGAGTTCCAATTCCGGTGGTACCACCTAATTGTATAGTTAAAGAGCAAGTGCCTGCCAGTCTATCATATTTGCCCTCTAATTGTGTAGTTAAGGAACAAGTGCCTGCCAGTCTATCATATTTGCCCTCTAATTGTGTAGTTAAAGAGCAAGTGCCTGCCTGTCTATCATATTTGCCCTCTAATTGTGTAGTTAAAGAGCAAGTGCCTGCCTGTCTATCATATTTGCCCTCTAATTGTATAGTTAAAGAGCAAGTGCCTGCCAGTCTATCATATTTGCCCTCTAACTGTGTAGTTAAAGAGCAAGTGCCTGCCTGTCTATCATATTTGCCCTCTAATTGTGTAGTTAAAGAGCAAGTGCCTGCCTGTCTATCATATTTGCCCTCTAATTGTGTAGTTAAAGAGCAAGTGCCTGCCTGTCTATCATATTTGCCCTCTAATTGTGTGGTTAAAGAGCGAGTGCCTGTTTTTTTCTTATGTTTTGGGGTCTGCTTCCACTAATTATTATATTTTGGAACCTGAGTTCATCCACGGAATCACTTGTCATTTCCCTAAATGGAAATGTCATCAAAGTTACGTCTTCAAACTGGAAGAACCCCATACATTTTTTTAAATTCAGTGTGCAGATTATCTGGTTGCATTGCAAAACACTTAAAATGTGAAAATGTCTTATCCCTGCACTCATCTTCCATAAAAATGTTTAAATCGTCCTTCCTCAGGTGAGCTGCTAATGTTATAATCCTTTCCTTGAAATTCTTAATCACCCGCGTAACTTATATAAGAGATTTGGCTTTTCGTCGCAAGCTGATATTTTCTTCATTTAGGATTTTTGGTAAAATAAATTTCACTGTCAAAAACACAAATGTAGCAGAGAATTTACACTGTAACATGTCTTCTGAGTAGCCTCAGCCCTTTCTGACATCACTAGTCTATGCCACCTGCAGACAGCATTTATATCGGTCTTGAGATCGTGAACTTTTAAGAGACGTAAATGTTACCAACAGAAAGGCATTCTATAGAGCATTCAGGAAGATTTTCTAGTAAGCCGGATTGTATACTTGTTGGTAGGTAGCTGTCCACCAGTCCACTAGAGGTCAGTTGTAGATAAACTTATCTTTTCGCTATGCTAGCTTGCAGAGGAGTTAAGCAACATTAAGTTTTTGTTTCAGACAATATGACATAGACTCCCACAATCTACCTGCCATGTAAAGGCCCTTTTTTTTATATATATATGTCAAGGATGTATGTTTGTGTGCATATCCCCCCCCCCACTCCCCCACCCCTCTTCTTCCCCATCAGGCTGATATCTAAACATTTGACACCCTGAGATTACAAAATCTCAGTCTAGATGGCAAAGCAACAGCACCACAACAATACCCTGTAGTCAAGTGTAGGTGAGGACGTAATCAGTAATAGATTTTTGTTATCATTCTTAGACCAGTCTGGTGTGGCTGTTACAGGTCAGACCATTCTTGTGTGGCTGTTACAGGTTACACCAGTCTGGTGTGGCTGTTACAGGTCGGACCAGTCTGATGTGGCTGTTACAGGTCGGACCAGTCTGATGTGGCTGTTACAGGTCGGACCAGTCTGATGTGGCTGTTACAGGTCGGACCAGTCTGATGTGGCTGTTACAGGTCGGACCAGTCTGGTGTGGCTGTTACAGGTCCCCAGCATGGTGTGGCTGTTACAGGTCCCCAGCATGGTGTGGCTGTTACAGGTCAGACCCGTCTGCCATGGCTGTTACAGGTTACACCAGTCTGGTGTGGCTGTTACAGGTCAGACCAGTCTGGTGTGGCTGTTACAGGTCAGACCCGTCTGCTGTGGCTGTTACAAGTCCCCAATTATAACTTCTTTGGAGGTTAAACAGGATGTCCATGATTGGCCCTGTTGGTCTGTCATTCAGATTGAGATCTCTAATCTCAGTGTGGGCAGCCTTCACGTAGCAGCACGAAGATGCCTCTGGGTAAAAGAAAAGTAAAGGATCCTTTTTACTGCATTGAACATATGGTACTAGACCCATTTTTTTAATAGACCAGTCATCATCATCTGAGGCATCCGAGTTTAAATATCTGGGAACTACATTTACCGAACATGGGAAATTGGATAAAGAAATTAACATTAGATGCAGTAAAGCAAACCAAGTATTGGGACAGCTAGCCCCCCTCTTACAGCATAAGGCAATCCCAATCAGCACAAAGAGACATCTAATTCAAAGCATATTTATTCCAACTCTGTGCTACCAGTGCCAGACATGGTCACTCACAACAAACCATAAAAGAAAATTAGTAACCACGGAAATGAGATGTCTGAGAAGGGCTGTAGGAGTGACCATAAGAGATAAGATCAGGAATGAGATCATAAGAGAAAAAGTCAGCACAGAACCAATTCTGGATAACATACGAAGACAGCAAGTGAAATGGTTTGCCCACTTAGAGAGAATGCCTTGTGACACTATACCATACAAAGCATACATGGAAAGAGAAGAAGGAGGTAGAGCATGAGGCAGACAAAGAACAAGATGGAAGGATAACATCAGAGAAACTCTACAACAGCACGATGTGCCTATGGTCGAGGCGGCCAGAAGAGCTAGAAACGGAACCTTATATCTCCCTCGACACCCACAGCGGTAAAAGAGGAAGTGAAGAAGAAGAAGAAGTCATCATCATCATCAGTTCTCGTCAGGTCACTTTCGATCGTTCGTCTCCATGTTGTTTTTGGGCGCCCCTGTTTTCTCTTTCCCTCGTGTCCATGTGAGAGCTGTTTTGGCGGGTATATCAGGATTCATTCTCATAACGTGGCCAAGCCATTTCCATCTTCTCTTGGTTATCATACTGTCTAAAGTTGCTTGGTTTGTGACTTGAAGTAGTTTATTATTTAAGATTGTATCTGGCCAGAAAATTTTGATAATTCTACGTAGACATGTGTGGTGGAAGGTGGACAACTTGTGTGCATCCTTTTTGGTCATTCTCCAGCATTCCGCTTCATAAAGAAGAACTGGCAAAATGATGCTCTTGTAGAGTCGGAGTTTCGTTCCTCTGCAGTAATTGCTGGATTTCCAGATTTGCCTCATCCTTCCAAAAGCAGCTCTAGCTTTGTTCAGACGTGACTTTATATCCTCTTCGGTCCCTCCCGGCAGAGACACCACACTGCCAAGATATGTGAAATGTTCTACATTTTCAAGAGTTTGGTTATTTATGATCACTGGTTGTTGGTTTGGACTGCTTGTCATGATCTTAGTTTTCTTTGTATTTATTCTCAGTCCCACCATTTCTGCTGTGCTGTGTAGTCTGTAATTTTTTATACTGCAGGAAAAGTCTTTATAGAAGAGAGCAATTATGTTGGCTATTTTTTCTGGAATTCCATAATGTCGTAAAATTTTCCATAGACTGTCTCTATGGACGCTGTCAAAAGCTTTCTCGAAGTCCACAAAATTTATATATATACTTCTCTGCCATTCATTGCATTGTTCTAAAATGTTACATATGGCGAAGATGTGTTCAGTTGTTCCTCTGCCCTTTCTGAATCCTGCTTGTTCTATTCGTAGGCACTTATCTACTCCTTTTTCAAGCCGTATTATGATGATTTTACCAAATATTTTGCTTGGTACTGAGAGTAGAGTAATTCCCCTCCAATTATTAAAATATAGACCAGTCCGCATTTGATAAATATGCTCAACATCATCATGACCGTCTTTATTTCCCATGGTATTTCCAGGGTTCTAATTTTTGAGTGTGCTAACAGTTGCCAGCAAGTGCAAACTTTTAGTTCATATTTGATTTCTTTCTGGCTAGAATCTGTCTCTGGCTTCTGTATATAGTAAGTAATAGATGATATCATGTCCGAATAATGTGAATGAATAATGACTTTGTCTCCTCAGATACATCCAGACCTCCGAGAATTATCAGAAACAATGACCAGATTGAGCATTTTACCAGCAGATTTTGAAGGGAAACAAAAAGTGAAGAAATGGTAACATTAGGTTTTTTTCATTTGGTTTATTCTCAAACATAATTGTTACCTCCCAGCACATATGATGTATGCAGATAGATAGATAGATGCATTAAAAGAAAAGACTGTAGCCCTTTTTTTTGCTTTTTACCTGCTTTTAATCTACACCTGGAATTTTTAAAATATTAGAGGAGTGTAAATAAAGTAGCCAGTGTTTACTGAAATGTCTTTTTATGTGCCAGACGTCTGCAGTTTATCTCTTTTTCATCATATCTTTTCATTCTTGGCTTCTACAACACTTCTACATTTGTTTGTGGTTTCTGTTAAATGTAACTGCAATGGGTAAACTGTCAGTATAGATTGTTTGGGGGTTATTCTTACATGTTTTTGTTTTTGTCATTTCAATAATTGTACGTGCAAGTGTTGACATTTATGATGTGTATATTTTGCCTTTATTTGACACACCAGAAGAGAGAGAGAGAAAGAACATATTTTATGCCACAAATATTAAATATGAGAAGATCACATTGTTTCATGAGTTGTCTTTCAGCAGTTCTTGCTAATTTGTAGTTTAAAATCACATTGTTTCTTATGTTGTCACTTAGTATTTGTTGATGACTTTTGGTTTAAAATCACATTGTTTCTTATGTTGTCACTTAGTATTTGTTGATGACTTTTGGTTTAAAATCACATTGTTTCTTATGTTGTCACTTAGTATTTGTTGCTGACTTTTGGTTTAAAATCACATTGTTTCAAGTGCTGTCATTTAGCAGCTGCTAATTTATAGTAATTTATAGTTTATACGAAACATATAAGTACTTGGGTGCAAAATTCAACTGCTCCTACATGCTAAGAGAAGAAATACAATCTAAAAATAAAATATACTATGCCCTTCAACATTTGCTAAAGTCAAAGTCTTTATCTCAGAACACTAAGATCAAAATATATAAAACGCTGATAAGACCAGTAATTTTATATGGCTCTGAAACTTGGAGCACAACTAAAAGAAATGAAGCCTTATTACAGGTTTTCGAAAACAGAGTCTTACGACGAATCTTTGGACCCATCAAAGATGCAAACAGCAGTAAATGGAGAGTAAGAAGCAACAATGAAATTCATAATCTGTTTAAATCACCAATGATCACTGGCATCATGAGAGCTAATAGACTGAAACTGTTGGGGCATATTGAAAGAATGTCAGATGACAGAAAAGTAAAAACTGTATACACAAGGGAGATGAATGGTCATAGACCACGAGGCAGAACGATGGAGAGATAACGTCCAGACAGACCTGCAAACACTTGGTGTCATCAACTGGAAAGAGAAGGCCAACCACAGAGATGAATGGAGGCGGGTGATATCTGCAGCAATCAACCTCAAGGGCTCGGAATGCTGAAGAATTTATAGTGTAAAATTGCATTTGTGCATGTGTTTTTATTTGTTTTCAATTGATAGCTTAAAATCACATTGTTTTAAGTAGCGTCAGTTTGTTTTCTTCTTCTTCTGCCTTCTATCCCTCAATGCGGCATATGCCCTTAAGCAAATCCTGCCAAGTTGTTCTACCCGTTGATATCACATGCAGCTCCCCTCATGTCCTCCCCATCTTTTTAACTTCACTTTTTAGCTCCCTTCTCTGTGTGTGTGTGTGTGTGTTTTTTTTTTTTAACTGTGGTCATGGGTTATTGTTTTTCTCTTAATACCTCTATTGTTCTTTTTTACACCATACAAAGTTCTAACATTGAAGCGGCCAGATTTGGAGATTTTCCTAGGTGAAGGGAGGTATGTCGTCGATCCAGACTTCTTTTGACTTTCTCCACACCATGTCATCATTCTTTTATTAGAAGAGCCTCCCTTCATCTTGGTTGGCTGGGCTTTTCTTAGTCACCTTTTATGGTATGCCTGGTAGGGTGCAGTGTTACTATTTTTTGCTTTCCATGGAGACCCTGCTAATACACGGGTGGTTGGAACTCTGTCATGGCTGCCGAAGATGAAGACCGAGCACGCATGGGAATGCCCCGAGTGCTGTGATGTCAATTCTTGCCTCAACTAAACTCAACACAGGTGGTTGTGTCAGTTAGCAGCTGCTGATTTATAGTTAAAAGACAACATCCAAGAGAAATCCTTAAGCTAAAGGTGGTGAGAGAGGTCAAAGATGCTGGACTGATTCCACTCATGATATCGCACTGTTTGCACAGGATACAACAGAATGGAGGTATAAACTGTAAGCCCTAAATGACATATAATGGTACAACAGGACAGTGAATGAATTTATAGTTTTTCAAATCACATTGTTTCCTAGGTTGTCTTTCTTCTTCTTCTTCTTCTTCTTCTTCTTCTTCTTCTTCTTCTTCTTCTTCTTCTTCTTCTTCTTCTTCTTCTTCTTCTTCTTCTTCTTCTTCTTCTTCTTCTTCTTCTTCTTCTTCTTCTTCTTCTTCTTCTTCTTCTTCTTCTTCTTCTTCTTCTTCTTCTTCTTCTTCTTCTTCTTCTGCCTTTCACTGGCTGTAAACTCCGATGGAAAGTCCTGGTTGTTTGCCACCTTTGGACTTTAGTCTTGTTCCAGAAACTGAGTGTTGCGTGCACATCTGTTTTGCTTCTTAAGATCCTTATCCTAAGATCCCTTTTCACACTTTTAGGCGTATTGCGTATATGGGAAGAGCGCCCATATTTTTTACAGACCTTCGGCATTAGGTGGGTAATGCGGTCAGCATTACGCCGACCGTCTTTACTTCCACAGGACAGCCATCCTGGTACTCATTTTAAGGGTGGGTCGACCTGCGACACCCCATACCATGATAAAAATCCACGCAGCCAGCAGTGGGTTTCGATCGCAGAACGTTGGAATTACGAGTTGGACTGGCAACACTTGCGCCACATCTGTTTTACAGATCTGGCTTATTTGTTTGTTCCTTGCCTCTCAAGCAGATGCAATCTAACCTTGAAGGAAGGCCCCATTTTGTTGACTCCTAAGACATGCTTGTTGGGAAGGCAGTGGGTCTATTTTGTTTTCCTTACAATGGGAACCAAGAACCCACACAGGGAGAGTTACCATTTATCAGTTGTTGCTGATTCAGCAATGGTTGCTAATTTATAGTTTAAATTTTCAGTAGATCTGAAGCCAGCTAATTAGTGAAATATCATGTGGAAACTGCAAGTGTGACGAGATCAAGACATTTGCCCCATAATCTAAAGGTGTGGGGGTTATATCACAGATATGTTCAGTTTCACGAGTGCATTTTGTATGAAGGTCCCTGGAAGTTGTTTCTAGATTTGTGATCTGTGCCACAGTCTCAAAAGGCAGCCAGCTGTTCTGCCGAGAGCGACTAATCCATGTGGGAATTATGAGGTTCCAACTCAAGCCACAAATCTCCACATGTATTCCTTGAACCTCTCTTTCACTGTAGTTCCACTGGCTCAAGTCAAGCACCACATGCTTCACTGCCTCCTTCACCACCAGACCTTGTCGATGTCTCTCCTGTCCAACAGGGTTTATATAACTGACGTACCCAGGGCAATGATATCTGTCTGTATTTAGCACCTGGAGCATGATGACATCAAAATTTAAAAAAAATCAACCTCTCCAATACAGGACCTCCGTGCCTAGCACTCCGACAGTTCCAGTATCCTACTCTTACATGATTGAAGCTCAATCTCTTCTCTCCGCTTTTCGACTTGTTCTCCTAGCACCTGCACTCTTATTTCTATTCCTTATTCTCTCCCCAATCCCTCGTCGTCTCCTCCTCACTCTCTCTTCACGAACTGCTGAAAAATGTGTCAGGCGCAGAGCACGTGCTCCGTAGCTCCGGCGTCGATTCCTATGTATATTTTTCAAATCCATATGCGAAAAAATAAGAGTACTGCAGGAAATTACTGGTCACCCTAGTATTGCCTGCCTGCTAGGGAAGGGGCAATGAATGTCCCGTAGGAGTCCATACGCCTGGTGCCGCCCCGCATGCCCGCCAGACGTCCAACTTTCCCGACCAGCTCACCCGTGGCCATCCAGTTCCTCAGCACGTTGGCCCACCTTGAACTTGGGGGTTTATATTTTGAGTTTGCCGTCTCCTAGATGGACTGCTGTCCAAAGCTAACGTGTTCCACCTACTCGAGGAAAGGGGTTATAGCGCCCCGACCCGCTTGGCAGGCATATTTCAGAGCATGGGGTATTTTATAAGGATCCCACCCTGAAATCCCGCCTCGCCCTCTGTGCCCACCGCCAGTTGGACCGCGGCTGCTTATTGGGTATTCACAGCTAACCTCTATATCTAGAGGCCGTTCCACAATCCGCCACCAGTGGACGCGCTGGGTTGGGGATGGTCGCCCCAGCTTTACCCATATCTGCTTTGATGATCAAGCAAAACATCATTCGCATAGGACGATGCCCTTCCAGTGAGCGAGTAGGGCAATGCTTTTGTGTTCACCCGTTCTGTGTCGGGTAAGATCACCACTCTCGAAGTCTAGAGGCACATGTTTTTGGCTGCACTATTCATACTTCTTTGTGAGCACGAGAACAACTGTAGTGATCTGTCAATGCTCCCCTCATGCAGCTAAGAAATGTTAGTGCTACTGACAAGATAGCGCATGGTGAGGAATGAGTCACGGTGCCACCCAGCACAGAATGATAGTTACCCTAGACGGGAGGTGCTGGCAATTGATAGCCGGTGAAAAAGGCATTAGTTAAACAGGTGTTCAATAAAAATTGACGCCCAGTTGAATACACATGTGTGTCTGTAGTGAGAGGTATAACATTTAAAAAAAAAAAAAAAGAGTCGTAGGGGTTTGTTTCACTTCAGATAATCGCAGTTCCAATTTTATAGCAAACAGGACATTAGTAGCCCCGTTTCTGTGCCATCGAAAACCACACAGAATGCCCACCACTGCCCCTTGTGGGGGAAAAAATGAACACACACAGGGCTATTCAACCAAAATGACTCAGGGGCCAAAATTTGGCTATCTTTCGAATAACGGTCCCAAATTATCGAGGCCAAAAATATACCCTAACAGGGCCTCAGTCAC